GTCCTCACAATCGAGCTCACCTCGCAGCTGTTCAGCACAACCAGCTGTCCCAGTTTAGCGATCAGCATCTGATTGGCTGTTTTCGGGTTTCCATCCCTGCTCACCAGCTTGTTGCCACGGCAAGAAAGCCGGACCAAACTGGGAAGTTTGGCCAGCTCGTTCACCACAAACCACTAAGTGAGAAAAAGAGAAACACTTCCTTTAAACTGGCGTAGAGTTTATTTTAAATAACGTCCAATCACGAAGCTGGAGAGAAGAACAAAAATGACACGACCGAGCCGGCGTAACGTGGAGACAGCCTCAGCACCCACGCTGGATGTAACAGTGACTGCATGAATCACGCAGTCTGGAGCTGCTGCTGTGTGTCACAGTGCAGCCTTCGCCCACAGCACTGCAGTGTTAGACAGCTTCCAGACTGGCTTCACTCCAGTCTACAGAAGTACACTTACACCAGTGTAACAACAGTTACAACAACACAAACAGACACAGTCGCAGCTGTTGACCGTTTCTATGGCAACACGTTTCACTAAACTGAAGCTAAAGTTATTTCTGGCATGTTTGATGTTTGTTAGTTTTGTAACCACAGAACAATGTTGCAGATGTTTGTGTTCCAGTGAAACGTCGGTCACAGTTCTGGTTAACCACCCGCAGCCGTGTGCTGGTGCAGGAACACACTGACCTCAGTGATGCTGTTGTGGTCCAGGTTGAGGTTCTTCAGCGCTGCATACGCGGCTGTGTGAGACCCTGCAGAGCAGAGACTGTCACTGACACGTTTGCAGTCGCACAGAAAGCTGTTCTACACACACAAAAGGACAACAGATGCTGTTAGGCTGGAAACTGTGTCGTTACCGGGGGCAGCATCTTCAAACCGAATGACAGACAGTCCGGTCTTGGATAAATTCAGCTGCTCCAGCCTGCCACGAGAAACACACCAGACTCACTCCAGCTGCTTTTATTAAACAACAAACAGAAAACTGTGACTATGGTGCAAACGCCGTAAAAATCCCTCCTAAAATCAGATCAAGTACTGGTTTTTGGGGTGTGTGGGATCACCACTTCCACCTAGAGCTGCAGGGGGCGGGGTAAAATCCCTGCTGTGGCCGCTGGGTTGCCTAGCAACACAGCTGTTTCCATATATTTTGACAAGATGCTGCTCTAACATGAGCTAGAGCTAGCTAGCTAAATATACAGAGGACTGCAGTTCAACAGAAGGGCTGAGGATGGCAGTCTAGAAACAGAGCAGCCGGACAGGGTTCACAGCTGAGCGCAGCACACATGTACAGACATGACCCGACTCAGTGAGAGAACCTGAAACATTTTCTATGATATTTAAAGGTTACAGAAAATAAATGGCATGTTTCCCACTCGTGCTGCTGCAGGACGGAGCAGTCCTCACACGCAGTCAGAGAAACGCACGCATGCTGCTCAGCATCAGGTTAACTGACAGTGGAGCTGCAAACGTGTCTGCATGGATGAACTCACACTGGACACAAGCACGTGCAGCACGTTACATCGACGCGTGGCTGACACTTTGTACTGTACCTGGGCAGAGCAGATAAACTGAGCACGCTGTCCTGCACCAAAGGATTACTGGACAAGCTCAGACTCTTCAGCGACTGCAGCAGTCCCTCAGGCCTGTAAACAGACACAGCACAGCTGGTTTCAGGCAGCTTTGAAAACACACACATCTAAAGGCAAGGCAGGGCACACAGAAGATGATGATGATGATAAAGTGTTACCTCTGCAGCTCTGTGATGCTGTTTTCTTCCACACACAGGTCCTCCAGCTGTGGCCACATGGGAGCGCATTCCAGAATCTGAGAGGAAAGCAAGATCAGAGGCGGAAAAGAGATTTCATTTAAACAGAAGCAGTTCATCATCTCAAGACCCAACACTGTCCATGATGAGAACGGACGACCCACGAGAATCTGGCCTCAGCGGGGAGGAAGAACTCCCTTTGAAGAGGAAGAGACTCGAGCCAGAAGCAGGTTCAGCGGGAAGAGGAGAAGAAACATGACAGAAAGAAAATGACTGAACGCAGCAATGTGAGTGGTAGAGAACAGAAAAAGAGGGAACGCTTTAAATTCTCCTTTCTTTAGACTTTAAGTTAGTTTGATGTTTGATGTGAATGTTACCCCGGAGCTGAAACACAAAAGTAAATATAAGTGCCACAGCGCTGCGTACCTGTGGCCAGGTGAGCTGGCAGCCGTTGAGCACGACGACTTTGAGGGCTGAGAAAGCGTGGCGTAGAGCCGAGGGGTCAGGGGGCAAACGGAGTCTGTTGTAACTGAAGACAGAAACACAACACAATGTTGAGTGGAAGGAAAGCGAGGCCAAACAAAGCGTCCCACACACCCACACCTGAGCTGCAGTCCTTCCAGTCTGTCCAGCTGCTGGCTGATGGTGGCCACATCCTCCCAGCACGACATCAGAGTCCCAGTCAGGTCCAGCCACTCCACATCTGATCAGCATGGTTAAGGTGTCGCATCCACACTGCTCGCAATCACAACCTGACAGACTCTGAGAAATGGGAACGCTTTGTGAAGCTCACACATCCTGAGTGCCAGTAAAGCAAGTCTGTAGAAGGATACTGGGAGTTGTGGTCCTGATTTCCCCATCAGCACCAGACCAGCTCACGTCAGAGCGGCTCAGCAGCACTGAGGGAAGGCTCTCAAAACTGCACACACACAGACACACAATACAAAGTGTGCAGGTTTATAACAGGAGGGAAAACTGTGAACACAAAGGCTGTGACTGTTTCTGAGTGGACACACATGTAACTGATGTCTTGGATCTGACTGTGGGAACAGCTCACAGACTGTGACGAAACACATCCTGAGACACAGACCAAACGAACCCCAGAGGCTGGATTCACACAGTAATGACTCGGTGCTGCTGTTCATCTCAGGCTGTGTTTACTTAGTTATGAGACCTGATGATTTTATGATGTCTGACTATATAAAACCTTAGACGTGTGAGCTGTGTCTCAGGTGACTTTCATCTTCCTCCTCGCTTCATCAGCACTGACTCTGCAGCTCAGCTGATCGTCATAACACATGCATTACTGCAGGTGGATGCTACCAACAACTACCAGGCGACAGAACTGAAGCTGATAACATCCTTATGATATTTTGCTCTAATAGCACAGCTGTGTGACGCTCTTCTCCTGACCACACAGCATCGTACCCACGCTCCTTGATGTTCCCCCACTTGAGCTTCTTCTTGGAGATGGAGATCTCCTCACTCAGCACCTCCTCTGAGTCGATCTTGTACTCCTGTCGCACGGCGGTCAGATAGTCCACTCCAAAGCTCACCTTTGCCGGACGGACGAAGGAGCCTCCTGTGGGGTGTCTGAGAACAAAGGGAACGTATCAGGACATTTTCACAGAAGACTTTATAAAGTAATTATCTCACAGGAGGCGTGCAGGCAAAGCACGCTTGAGCACTTTACCTGCACGTGAAATACTGCACTCCCTCGTGGCTGCCGTCATGTTTGCCTCTGTCGGGGTTGTCCCACTCCACACCCAGCCACAGACCTACAAACCACAAAACAAACACACAGCTATACTAATGGCAATGCAGTGATGCAAGCATGTGGTTAAATCTGCTTCATCGGTGTGATTTCATCCGTGTACTCGGACTGGACATGTATCGAGAGAGGGGGACAGGAAAAAGCCCCGCCCCCTCCCAGCTTTCCTCCCTCTCTGCGTCCAGTCTGTTGGGTTTGAAATGACACAGGCTTTGTCTCGGTACACTGTTGCTAAAAGTCAATCATATTTATTCTTAATCAAAATATAAGTTTGATCAATATGTTAAATGACAAATGTGAGGCAGCTGGGCCCTATGACCCCTATGAGCAAGCACTTGGCGACATTTGGAAGAAAAACTCCCTTTTAACAGGAAGAAACCTCCGACACAACCAGGCTGTAATCTGCTGCAACTGGTGGTGGTGAAGAAAAGACTATTGGAGACAGACCTACAGTGATATAATCGTGTAATAATTACTAACGATTAACTGGAGGAGTGACCTGATAACATGGGAATCCCCGGCAGCCTACGTCTATTGCAGCATAACTAAGGGAGGATTCAGGGTCACCTGGTCCAGCCCTAACTATATGCTTTAGCAAAAAGGAAAGTTTGAAGCAAAGTTTGAAGCCTGATCTTGAAAGTAGAGATAGTGTCTGTCTCCTGAATCCAAACTGGAAGCTGGTTCCACAGAAGAGGGGCCTGAAAACTGAAGGCTCTGCCTCCCATTCTACTTTTAAATACTCTAGGAACAACAAGTAGGCCTGCAGTCAGTATGATGCTCGTAGCAAACATTTCATGATCAAAGTCTTTCTGTCATACCGACTGGCTCTATGTGTTCGCGGTTTATGATGTTCATCTATGCGTGATGAGGTAAGAGGTACAACCCGGGTCCTACCTGCTGTGGGGGGTACAGGTCCAAAGTAGCGCACTGTGGCCCGCTCCCCGCCGCAGGACACCCGCTTACCCACCGCATCCACCGGCACCTCCGCCTCGTCTACTCCCATGGAAGCTACGAAATAAAAAACTAGAGCCACTCTGTAGTTCTTCTCCAACAGGAAGCAGCTTACGCTACATTTAAGTGTAATAAGTAAATACTGCACATTTCCGGTATGTCACTGTTTGGATAGCTTATTGTGTCTTTCTGAAAAATGAGAAACATGTAATGTTTGAAAAATGCAAACTTAATGTAAAATCATACACACCTTTGATAAATGTCGCGTTTGCTGCGGAACAGTCACTCAGCCTGCCCCCACCAAAACATCCTGCAGCTGCGTCACCGGATGGGACCTATTTCAACGTCGCACCGGTTTCCCACAAACCTTTTTCTAAAAGGAAATTATACCACGAAGGAAATATACTCACTGACACGTTACGTGTGTCTGGTCCTTTCCTATAAATCACCCCAGTTTAGTTATACGGTACCAAATCAGCCTAAAGCTAGAAAAAGCATAGGAACCTTTGTGGGGCTTTGCCGTGTTCCTATGGGGAATATTTCGAAGTAGGACAGCGGTCCACTCGGATAGAAAACGTGTGGATGTGTTGTAAGGTTTACTGGAGTTTAGGCCATTCAGTAAACATTTATTCCAGATAAAAAAGAAGAGGGGAAGCCATGAAGAAGAAAGCCCACAACAGGTTTGTTTACACACACTTTAATAACACGAGTGAAAATATCACGACGATTAGTGAGATAACGTTCAGAACTCAGACTTGAGCCTTCGATCTGGGGGGACCGGTGCTCCCAAAGAAACAAAGCCAGCATCAGCAGTAGACCCCCGCAGGGTCCAGGTTTTTCACTCGGTTGTTTGTCTGCTGGAGGAGCCATGAGCTCCAACTGAGCAGGAACCCAGATCCACTCCAGAAGTTCGGCGATGGACTTCTGTGTCCTGGATCCTTTGGATTTCTCCGAATCCAACAGTTACAAAGGGCAGCGTAGGAGGGTCTCTGTAGCTGAAGGAGTGACCCAAGACTTCCCTGCTTCTTTGTGTACAGATATGAACGAGCACACAGCTGTGCCAGCTCAACTAAATATGGCACAAAAAGCGTTATCGCCTGTTAACTTCAGTGTTTCTGTCCTCTGCAGAGAGGTGTCGCCAGGACAACAGTCAGCTGACTACACAGTGGGTCAGGTGTCAGGAAGCTTATTCCAGAAGAACTCTGCAGCCTCTGGATCCCTGTCGGCTTTATTCAGCACAGCAGCAGCATCCACAGCGCTGCTGTTCAAGCCTGCGCCTCTGGTGAGCGCAGCACACAACCAGCCCGTCTGTGACTGCGTGTTTGACCACCAGTCGAAACCAAATCTGTAAAAACCAAGAAAATCTGTCTTCTTCTATTGTGTGTCATGACTTATTTATTGTAAGGTGTCTTTAAGACGCGCAGAGGTGCATTAACCTTCGCTGAGCTTGAAGTGTTTTTCTTTATTAGAGTTTGTGCGTTTTATTTTCAAACTTTTAGTGAGCGCCTCTAATGCTAATGGATTATTTAAGAGGGAGGAAATGACTGAAGTGTCTTTTTGTGTTATGATGGCAGCCGGTTCAAAAAAGCACAGAAACCAAAGAGCAGAAGCAGAAAAGCCCACAGGTCAAAGGTCAGCCACGCCAGGAGAAGAAGCAGCAGCCAGCTAAGGAGAAATCAGCAGCCAATCAGGAGCTGGAAAAAAGGTGAGTGTTAATTTCTTTTTCCCCAGTTTTTTCTTGATTCAAGTCTCTTCTCAAACCCATTTGTTTGAAGTGTTCATTTGAATTTGCTGGTTTCAGAGAGAGTGGTTTACAAAAGGCAGACGAGGATGAGGACGGGCCAGAAAAACCCAACAGGAAGAGGAAGAGACAAACCTCCGAGTCGGGCAGAGAGAACGACACAGAGTACTGGGTGATGAAGAGACAGAGGCTGAAGGCCAGCAAGGCGCAGGAGACCTTGAAGAAGAAAAGGACTGTGTTTGTCGGCAACCTTCCCATCAGCTGCACCAAGAAGGTTTATTTAGTTTCTTTGTTTTACCCACCTGTATCCATAGTGACCGTCTGACTGTATCTGACACTAGCAGTCTGCATCCATAAACTACATGGACGTAACATGCAGTGTAGTTTAGTGCTGAGGTGCAGACTAACACAGTACTGGAGTTTCTCTTTAGTGTCAGTTTCCCTGCGTGTTAGCTTCAGCAGCCAGGCGCCACTCCTTCCTCTGTGAGCCACCTCGCTGTTTCTCCTTATGTGGAGAATGGAGAAGACGAGACACAGCCGTGTTTGTTTTAAATGACCCTCGTTCAGTCACGTAGGCGCAGTAACAGGAGCAAATATGGTCATGAGTCAGATGACACTTTAGATGCACTGAGACGCTGTACACAGTCAGTATTGAGCCTCAACGGTCTGACCTCAGACTGAGGCTTGTGGATGAAGCTGTGGGACGATAACAAGGAGAAACTGGCTAAGCTGAGGCAGCCGGTCTGATCTGCAACCTCTGGAAACGCTTGTTGGACGTTTTAGCTTCTAGCAGGTGTTTATGTGACAGAGTGAAAACACAACTGTACTGTGGCTCTTTCCAAGATCTTTCAGGAGACGTGCAAATTGCTTGTTGTGCAATAATTGCAGTATTTATAGGACAATAATAATGTGGAAGTTCAAAGACTGGCAACCTTTTTTGTTCCTTCTCAGACCCTGCGGAGCCTCTTCAGGGATAAAGGATCCATCGAATCTATTCGCTTTCGCTCTGTGGTAAAAACACCTCTGAAAGAAAGAGAGAGTCGCCAGGTTGCTGCAGCTTCTCGTCTTCAGTAACATTGTGTTTCATTCCAACAGGTCAGAGAGGACCCCTCCATGTCTCGTAAAGTAGCTGCTATCAAGTGAGTTTCTAAGAGTTGTTTATTTTTTAATCCTGAGCTTTCACTAGGTTCCACCAACAAACTAATAGTATGGTTTCAGTTGACTCCTTTCCATTTGTACCAAAGAGCTTCTTTTCACTTCGCAGGCGCAAAGTCCACCCAAAGAAGCAGAGCATCAATGCCTACGTAGTGTTTAAAGATGAAGATGGCATCACCAAAGCTTTGGAGAGGTCAGACGCTCCTCCTGAAACCTGCTAATGCTGTAAGACCCAAACATACACGTGCTGATAGAGCTCTGTCTGTCTGCCCTCACAGGAATGGCATGGAGATAGAGAAAGACTTTCACATCCGAGTGGACAGAGTGGCCGACAGCTCATCTGTGAGTCAGCAGACGTCCCAGAATGCTCTGCTGTATCTGTCTCCTGGGAGTTAAACTGAAATCCTGTTGTTCTCTTTCAGCACGACCACAAGCGTTCTGTTTTCGTGGGGAATCTCTCATTTGGTGAGTTCGTCTGTAGAGTTCCAGACAGTGGTAAAGGTGTAGTTGTCCATGAGTGAGTAGTTTGAAGCTCAAGCCAACCTGCTGTGTCTGCAGACATCAACGAGCTGACTTTTCGAAGGCATTTCGAAGAGTGCGGGACAGTGGAGGCGGTGCGACTGGTGCGAGACAAGAACTCGGGCTTGGGGAAAGGATTTGGTTACGTCCTGTTTGAGGTACAAGAGCTCGGAGACGATCGTGGTTCTGGAGTAACAAATAATAATATTGGATTGCATTTAGAGCTGGGCGATAGAACAATAACGATATGTATCGCGATATAACTTTTTCTCGATAGAAAAATTAAACTATTGCGATAGACCTCGCCGCTCTTGTCCTCTTAAAAACCCCCAAAACAAAACAAAAAAAACAGCCAATCCAAATTAAGTAGCGCAGAGCCGAACCAATCACAGCCGCAGCGTCATGTCACGTGACTTGTTACGTACAGCACAAGTGCCAAGCCGCCGTACAGCCCGGGTAATGGAGGAAATGAGTGTGCCGACTAGAGAAATCAACCGAGCGTGACCGAAGAGAAAACAGATGATGGTTCCAA